TGTGTTGAGATGTTCCAGTCTACTTTCAAAGGTCATTAGTATTGATTGGAGTTCTCCCCGTGTGATGTTATCTCTGCTGTTGATCTGAACAATGATTGGTGTGTACTCTTCATCCAGACCTACCAGAACCTAAGTAACCAAGTCATAATGAGGAATAGCTTTGCCAGCAATTTCAAGGTTGTTTACCAGCATCTTAACTTTGTTCAGGTATTGATCAATACTTATAGCCTCTTTCCTTCATTTTCGAAGTTCACCAGTAAGAAATGTGATCTTGGATCTGTTCTGAACTCCATAACTTTCCTTCACCGTTGTCCAAATTTCACTTGACTTCCTTGCTCCCATTACCCTCATAGAAATATTCGGAATTATAGAGGAGTAAAGCTAACCCATTAGTAGTTGGTCTGTTGACATCCACTAATTGTACTCAGGATTCTTGGTCATTTCAAAGCTGGTTCCAGCTTCACCAGTAATTTGAGTTCCAATGAATTCTGGAGGACACATCTTTGTCACCAGAATGTAGCCTTCAGGGTTGTGTCCCCGAATAATGAACAGTATCATGGTCTGCCATAGAAGGAAATTATTTTTTTCAAGTTTAACTGATACTACTTGGGTTAAATTCATACCAAAGGGCGAGAGATGATTGTTCCCTTGCATTGGACCAGTGTTGCTGCTTGAGACGGATGCAGGGGCAAAGTTTGCATCAGTATTTTGTGGGGCGTTGGCCATTGTTTTGGCTCTGATACCAAGTTGGAAATGCAAGGTAATTGAAGGATAATTCAACTCACATTATCTTGCTTCAGCATTGTGCTAGTATAAATAATTACAGCAAGAATGTTCTAGATGGTTAGCTCCTTGAATTAACGAGGCTGTTAAAATCTATTTACAACAGAAAGGTAGTGGCAGCATTTGGAGTGTAACAGAATTTAGACATCAAGGATTGATGCTGGCGGATAGGCTGATGACAAGGCTGCTGATTGGAATTAAATACTCAGCTAATCTTGACAAACCATGCCATACTACTGCAACTGAAAAACAAGAGCAAAAACACACTTTGAGTTGTACTTATTCTGGTTGTGAGTTTGGCGCTGATACTTTCTGTGATCTTTGCATATGCATTTGTTAAACATCCAAGGAAGGATAAGGCTAGAAATAAAGTAGACATTTTTGCCATTGGCGCAACACCATTGAGAGTTTCATATTACAAAATATTTGAAGCAACTAATGGCTATAGCGAGAGCAATTTGCATGGTACCAGAAGCTTTGGATCTGTCTATAGAAGGATTCTTAAAAATGGGAAGGACGTGGCTCTAAAAGTGTTCAATTTGCAACTACAAAATTCATTAAAGAGTTTTAATGTAGAAAGTGAAGTATTACGCTACCTTCCCCACAGAAGTCTCTGTAAAGTGATAAGTTCTTGCTCGAATCTGGACTTCAAGGCCTTGGGAATTGAATAAATGTCAAATGGTAGCCTTGAGAAGTAGTTGTATTCACATAACTACGACTTAGATATGAAGCAGAGAATGAACATAATGATGGATGTTGCAGCCGCATTGGAATATCTCTACCACAGTTATCAACACCTACAATTCATTGTGATTTAAAGCCAAATAATGTACTATTGGATGAAGATATGGT